AGCAGAGCCACTCTCTCAGGACCCTGGGCGGGCCTGGCATCATCCTCCAGCAGATGACCCCAGCTGGAGTGTCTCCTAGGGGACCGGGCTGAGGGACCTCAGTGTGGGCGCTAGACCCCTGGCCACGTGCTTCCCTGTTTCTGTCACTCCTGCCCCCAAACTGCAGGCCGGCTCAGGCCCCTGACACTGCCCAGGAAGGGACCGTGTGTAGCCGGCCCGCTCCTCCCCAGGACCTCCCTGGGAGCTGGCGCCTCACCCAGCCTCAGGCCGACCAGCACCTTCTCTGCCCCCAGCTCTTCCTGGGCCCCCGTCCCCACCGGCCATCCTGTCAGCCTCCAGCCAGAGCATCACACTGTCGTGGATGGCGCCGCGGGGCCCGGGCAGCTCCCACATCCTGGGCTACCTCATCGAGAAACGCAAGAAGGGAAGTAACACCTGGACGGCCGTGAACCAGCAGCCGGTGCCTGGTGAGCCTCACCCTGGCCTCCAGGGCCTCCCTGGACTGCAGCCCGGGTCCCCTGAAAGCACGAGCCAGATCACTCTAATACAGGGGTCTCGCCTGCGCTGATTCGCCCCGGGGGCATTCAGCAGCGTGCAGCAATTCTGGGCTGACCGAAGACCAGAAAGATGGGGGTGGCCTCTCATGTGAAGGAGCCGGGATGCAGTGGCCCATCCCCCAACACGGGGGGGGCAACCCCTGCCTCTCCCCGCACAAGAATGTCAGTGACAGCGGGGGTGGGAGACCCTGGTTTAACACAGTCCCAGGATGGAAGCCAGGGAACCCCTGGACCCTCTCCTCCACCCCGGGCAGCTCCCTCTTCTGCCTAATCTGAGCTTCCTTGTCCATACACTAGGGGAGGGGGGTGTCCCTGCCCCACTACGTAGATCCCAAGGAACCACCTTCTGAGACCAGAACAAACTCAGAAAAGCCCAAGCCCAGGTTGCAGGAGAAAGAAGGGGCTCGGGCGCTGGGCAGGCTGGGTGGGCGCCGGGCGGGGCCTCTCATGGCCTCACATCTCCGCAAAGAGGGAAGGGGACTGGGGGCGCTCTTCCAACAGCTCTAGGGCAGAGAGAGCCAGAGGGATTAAGGCGCTTGCCCGAGACATCCCAGCAAGTCCGCGGCAGAGCCAGACAGGGATCCCAGCCCTGAGACCCTGGGTGGCAGCCCTCTCCCCGCGCAGAGAACAGAGCCACGCCGGCCCCACCAGGGCGGGACGGACGTGGTGCTCCTTCCACAGAGAAGAAGTGGACGGTGGCGGACCTGCGGCAGGGCTGTCAGTACGAGTTCCGGGTCACGGCCGTGGCTCCCTCTGGCCTCGGACAGCCTGGGCCCCCATCAGAGGCCGTCTTCGCTCGGGACCCCATGAGTGAGTGGAGCGCCCACCCAGGAGAAGGCAGTGGTGGTGTGAGCAGGGGACAGCTCTAAGCCAGTGGGAGGGGACGGGAGGCCCCCGGCCAGGACCAGTCCCTGAGGAAGCGTCAGGAGGGCTGCGAGGTAAATGTGGAAGGGCCCTGCAGCATAGCTTAGGGGCCCGGGGAGGTTTCAGCCCCTACACTGAGATCAGACAGGCCGGGGGCCCCACAGTGGGAATTCCAAGTGCCCCTCCCTAGATGACTCCGCTCACTCGGTCCCAGTCCTGGGAGCATCCACTCACCCCAGTGAGGGGTCGTCACCCCACGGGGAGGGGTGTCATGGGAGAGCCTCACCACCCATTCTGTGTCCACGGAGTGACCGCTCGTCACCTGCCAGGGGCTGGCATCGTGCCAAGACCCAGGTGAATCCTTCAGGAACTTCTGGTTTAGAGCAGCACCGCCCTGCCCATTGTCTGGGGAACACCAGGCACCCAGAGGCACCGCAGGTGTGGCGAGGGCAGCAGGGACAGCAGAGGAGGTCCGCGGTCAACGCGGCCCTGACAGGTCCTACAGTAAAGAAGCCTCCCCAATTTTGTTTGATCCAAATTTCCCAAACGTGAGCAGAGAATACCTTTCCACAAACACACCCATCAAAGCCTCCCTCCAAGGCAAATGGGGCTCCGTGCACCCCTCCTCTCTGCCTGAGTGACCAGCCAGTCACTCAGGGACGGGGATGCAGCCCGTTCCTGAACCTCCCGTGTCAGCCAGGCCCTGGGGAAGAGGCCGTGGGCCCTGGAGAGAGCCGGGGGGGCTGGGGGCCGGGCAGGTGGATCCCCAGGTTTGGAGCCCAGAGCCCTGGACCCTGTGCAGTGTACAGAGCCATTTACACACATCAGCCCTCTGTCCTGAGCCCTCGGCAGGGCGGGGGGGGGGCCTGCACAGCAATCGTTGCCATTCTAAGGTAAAGAGCACAAAGTATGGACTGAGTGCCCACAAGGCAGTCTAGGCTAGGAGCTTACAGCTCAGGACAAAAAGATACAGAATTCTAGTCTTCAAGGATCTTGGAACCTAAGGACTTACCGACTCATCAACTAAAATCCCAGATTTCAGGAATTACAGAAGGGCTGTTGGGGAAGGGGGCTGGCAGGCTGGCAAATGAGTGGAAGGAGGTAGGGAAGGCTTCCTGGAGGAGGTGAGCTGGGATGGGGGTGTAGACTGCAGAAGATCCTGGGGACGGAGGAAGGATCTGGGTCCAGGCAGGGGCATCAGGGAAGCCCAGAGCAAGACCAGTCCCTGAGTAAAAGGAATCCCCAGCCGCCCACAGAAACCAGCGAGTGTCCAGAGGGTCTCTAGGCCTCTCGGTGCCACTCCCAACACCCACGGTGCCCGGCAGGAACCCCCGGGCCTGTGAGGGATCTCCAGGTCATAGACACGTCCCACACCAGCATCACCCTGAGCTGGGCCCGGCCAGACACACAGGATGGAGATGAAGCCCAGGGCTACGTGGTGGAGCTGTGCGGCTCGGACAGCCTCCAGTGGAGCCCGTGCCACACGGGCACCGTGCCTGGACCCACCTACACAGCCCGAGGGCTTCGGCCCCGAGAGGGCTACTTCGTGCGGGTGACAGCAGTTAATGACGGGGGCCGCGGCCAGCCCATGACCCTGGACACCGTAGTGCAGGCCATGCCTGTTACTGGTGAGTGCCACCTCCCTTCGCCACCCCCAGGCCCTTCTGGGGAGGAGCCTCTGAGCAGCACCTGTGGGCTGGCCGAGCCCAGATCCCCCTCCCTGGCTTAGTGAAGTGTCGGGGGTAGGATCTGGGCAGTGGGCAAGGCAGGCCCTTTTTCAGGGGAGATGCATTTTCATTATAACTCATGACAATCATGCAAGGTCAATACTGTCCCCAGTTTACAGACAAGGAAACTGAGGTCGGAGGTCCTTTGCCCTGGGGCTCACCACTGGTACGTGGCAGAGCAGGGTTTGAGCCAGGTGGCTGAGCCCAGAGCCCAGGCTCCAGGGCTGTGCTGCTTCGCAAGCACGGCCTGAGCAGGCCGCCCTCAGCCCGCGCGCTCAGGCCAGAGCAGAAGGCGCCACAGCCCTGTCACTGGGAGGGGGGCTGCCCTTGCCCTGGGGCCCTCATTGCTGGAACAGCTGCCCTGTGTTTGGCCAAGCTGACACTGGGCCATCCTAACAGACCCCAGTTGTCCCTGCGTCACGCGGGGGAGACATACCTGCAGTGAAGCTCTCCCTGCTCTGCTGTCCAGAGCCTGGAGCCTGGTTCTGGCTCTGCCCCTGACTCCAGGGGTCCCATGGGTAGTTGCCTCACCCACCAAGTGCAAGAGTTGGCCTGGTTTCGCACCGTCCTCCTCTGCTCCGGCCTGACGCGAGGCTCTCCCTGACCTGCTCCTTCTTGGACCCCTCCCACTCCTGCGCTCAGCTCCCCGCGGTCCCCTCCAGCCCCCTCTCCAGTTCCCACAGGGCCCCCGTCCATCATCACCAGGCTGGCTGGGCGCCCCCTCCAGCCCTGCCTGGTTGGTGACCGGGGGCTGGGGCTCACCTGCACCAGGAGGTGATGAGCCGTCCTGCGTGTTTCAGTCTGTCCCAAGTTCCTCATGGACGCCACCATGAAGGACTCGATGACGGTCAGAGCTGGGGACACTGTTCGCGTGCCTGTCTACTTTGAGGTGAGCACACCTAGTGGGCTGGAGTGGGGGCCGCTCAGCTGTGTGGTTCTCCTTTCTTCCCGGTTGGTTCCCTCTGGCCCCGAGTCAGTGACCTGGGCTTGTGCTGGAAATCAGGCAGGTGAGGAAGGGAGGAGGGAGTCCTCCGGGCAGGGGCAGCCCTCCCCTGGCCGCTGGGCAGCCATTCTGCTGGCATCTGTGACTCCCTCTGGTGGTAGCCTCCAGTACTGCACCTCTAAACCTTGGCCCCCAGGGGCTGGGGCAATGCCCTTGGACTTCAGGGTGCATGTTGTGCGCACACCTGGCCTGTGTCTGGCTCAGGAGAGTCCTCAGGCAGCGCCACCGGTCTCTGTACGTGTAGTAGAGCAGCCCAGCGTGTGGTGAGACGCACAGGTGGCCTGGATTCAAACTCTGATGTCACACTCACAAGCTGTGTGTCTTTGGACAAGTATCTTAATCTCTCTGTGTTCCGACATCCTCGTCTATCAAATGGGGGTAATAATAGTAACTTATCTCAAAGGCTTGTTCTGAGGATTCACGGAATTAAAACTTGAAAGCACATAAACAGTGCTGGGCAGATGGCAAGTGGCCATGCGTCTTACCCACCATCGTTACTATTACTGCTGTTGTTAGAATCTCCACCACCAGCATCATCAACATCTGTCCAGGAAGCTCATAGGTGGCAGAGCCAGAAGCACACCCAGATCTACCCCTAAATTACATGTCCTTAAATATTAGACCATAAACATGCCGATGGTCATTATGACAAAAATATTTAAGACACACCGAGCATTTGCTCTGTCTCGGGCCCTGTTCTCTGTGTTCCCCATATATTGGTAACTTCTTGAGTCCTCAGACAATCCTGTGGGTAAGTCACCGTCACCATCCCCATGGGACTAGTGTGCCCAGTGCTGAGGGTCTCATGGGAGTTGGTGGCACAGACATCAGGCAGCTGGACTGGCCCCCAACCCTGGTCAGGGTCAGGCCGCCACACTCTCCTGCCTGGACTACTGCAGGGGCCCCAGGCCATCCCTACTTGAGCCTGGGCACCGGGCTGGTCCCCACTCCCGCCCCATGAGTCGTCCCCACTCCCATCAGGTCCTCAGCCCCCAACCCTCGCCATGTGAGTCTAGATCTGACTCTGACTTCCTGTTCCAACCTTCCAACAGCAGCTCATGGCTCAGAGGGGGAATCCAGGCGTCTGTATGTGACATGCGGGGCCCTTAACATTGTTGCCAACACCCCTGTCCAGCGGCCTCCCCTGATCCTGCCACCCAACCATGCCCACCTGTCCGCCAGCTTTTCTCTGAACAGGCACCCCCTCCCCACCCTCCACCCAGGGCTCTGCCAGATCACCTCCTCCCTGAACGCTCTGTTCTCACTTACACCTCACCCAGCTCAAACTCCCCTCCTCACCCCTCCCTCCCCCGTTTCCCAGGCCGACCCCTTGCCGGAGGTGACCTGGCTAAAGGATGGCTTGCCCTTGCCTAAAAGAAGCGTGACCTCCACCAAGGACGGCCTCACCCAGCTCCTGGTCCCCGTGGCCAGCCTCACAGACAGTGGCCTCTACACTGTGGTACTGAGGAGCCTGCGGGGGGAGGAGGCCACCTACAGCTTCCGCCTCACGGTGGCAGGTGAGGCAGGTCTGGGCTGGGGCTGGACACTGGCCGGGCCACCGCCGGGGCCGGCCACAGGTCTCAGCGGTCCACCCGGCCTGGGAGTGCCCTTCCTGTGTGCCTGAAGGGAGGAAGGAGGAGGGCCCAGGGAGAGTCCAGGGGATCACTGCTCTGCCCCACGCCCTCCTCGGACTCCACTTGTTCCTCACTTGGGGTCAGTGAGTGCAGATGGTCACCACCACCACATCGCTTGAGACAGCAGTGGGGAGAACGGTCTGTGGTCCTCACCCGGGGTGCAGGTGGTGTCTCCCAGCCCCCGCCCCGGAGGGGTTTCTCGAACTCAGAAATGAGGACCACCACCTGGTCTTCCGAAAGCCCCCACTCTGTCCTTGCCTGGGGCATCGAACTTAGGAGCCAAAGTGAATGAAAATTAGTCTTTTGGGAGGTTTCCCATCCTCCAGCGGTAGCCGCAGCCCCTGGCCCAGCTCTCTCTGGCTCTGGCCGCCTGCCTGGCAAGGCCACATCTGCAGAGCCCTGGGAGACGCGGGACC